CTCTCCTGGGGACTTGGGCACCACGTGCAAGGGACCCCCAGCCCCGGCTGGTGTCCCTCCTCCCCCCGGGGCTGTGTGACCAGCGAGCTCTGGCCGGCTCCGCCGTGGCGGACCTGGCGGAGAAACAGACCCATGTGGGAAGCCGCTGATTCGGGAGCAAAATCCATAGCTTGACAGCCACAGTGCCTGGAACCCATGGCAATGAAGTGACAGAGGCCGAACCCCGGACCTGGAGCCGAAGCGCACTCAGTCGTACCCCCTCTGCTCCGCCAGTGACCACACACCTGCACGCCAGCTCCGCGCCGGGCTTGACCCGTCCTATGTGCCTGTCCTACGGTAACTTCACAGTCTGCAGAGAGAGTGTCTAGAACCACGCTCATCTTCTGTTGCTCGAAACCAGCGCCCCTCACGTGGAGGAAGCGCCCTGCTGTGGTACTGTGCTGACCTTGGACTAACTGACTAGGGCTGAGGCTTGAACCGCTCCCTTGCGGCGTCTTGGCAGAGGCTGCCTTGTGATCCTCGCAGACACAAGGGGAGGGGAGGTCTGCCAGAAGCTGGCGCAAGGCCATCTTCTGTTGGCCTTCTCTCTCCTGGGAAGCTGTCATGAGAAGATGTCTCCTTTCTGTGAGGTCCTGGTGAGGCATGGGTGTCAGAGTTTCAAGCCACTTCCCTGCGGGGGCGGGGCGGGTGTACTCGCTCCCCAGCAGGGGGCTGCTTCGCTCGCCCTGCAGTCACCTGGCCCCTTTGGTTTTGCTGGCGTGCCTTTCGGTGTCTGAGGCACACATCACAGGGAGCTTGCACCTTTGGGTTCTTTTTGCTGTCTTTAAGTAATACACTCTTTCAATCTAAAAGTGGCTCCTTGTAACTTCACTGGTTGAATCAATCAGGCCTTGGCCTCTTTTTAGGCGAGCTTGAAATCCCGCACTTCCCCATTCTTACCATTTATGTAGTCACAATCAATATTGAACAAATTCATTCTTCCATGGCTGGAAATCTTGAGGCAACTTAACCCTTTCCTCGAGGTACCCTCCATCCAGACCTGTCATTCTCCCTCTGTAAATGTTCTCATTTCTGCCTCTACTCCCATCTCTTGTCTCCCCCTGAATTCAAACCCTCGTCTGCTCACTCCTACGTTGTGGTAAAATCCCTGAACTAGGCTTCCTGTTTCTAAACCTTCTCCTTGTAACTCATCTTCCACGGCACTGCCCGGGTAATGTCAAGATGCCATTTTGCATGTGGCACCCCCAAGGTTTACAGGCTTAAAGTCGATATGCTTTAGCTTCTTGTTCAAGGCTCTCCAGTTTTTGCTGTATCTCCAAATTCATCTTCCATGAATCCTCCTGACTAACCTTTTCTTCTCACCAACTTGGCCAACACCATGTTCTTTGAATACGCCAGATGGCGTCTCCTGTAGTTCAGGCTAAGTGCCACTTTCTTCCTTCCTGAAGCCTTTCTCCACCACTGGCTCTCCTGAACCCGTGTGTCACTGAGTTCTCTGTAGTACTGCATGGTTTTGTGGATGAGTCCGAAAAGAAAATGACTAGAGGGGCGCCTGGGTGGCTCAGTCGTTAAGCGTCTGCCTTTGGCTCAGGTCATGATCCCAGGGTCCTGGGATCGAGCCCCACATCGGGCTCCCTGCTCCGTGGGAAGCCTGCTTCTCCCCCTGCTTCTCCCCCTGCTTGTGCTCTCTCTCTGTTAAATAAATAAATAAAATCTTAAAAAAAGAAAATGAAAATGACTAAAGACGATAACCAGACAGAGCAAATTCATTGCCAGTTGGTACTAAATGTCTGAGACACACCGGCTGGACTGGTGTTCTTGGCCCAGAAGTTCTTAAGTGGAGTCTAAGGAGGCCCCTGAAGTTGATTTTGAAATTCTGCTATATGTGTATAGCAACACTGTAACACTGTGTGTGTGTGTGTGTGTGTGTGTGTGTGTCCGTAACTATATCCAGCTTCTTACAGAAGTCTGCTTCTGACCCAGTAAAGGCTGAGAACGCCTGACCGAGACAGAACCTGGCATGACTTAGAGACAAAGCAACAACAAGCCCCATTAGATTTTGGAATCACAATACTCCAGCTCCGTGAGACACTGGCATGTCACTAATCTTTCTGAATCACAGTGTACTCGTTTGGAAAACGAATGGTATCTCCTCTCCCTACTTGGTTGGGTTTTTGTGAGGAATAAATAAAATATGTGAAATTGCTTCATAAATGGTCAAATGCTCTGTAAACATAAGTGATTATACCACTTAATTCCAAACCATATGGTTCTGTTTATAGGTTCCAGTTTACACAATTTCTTACCTATCTTGAGATAACAAGTTCTTATCAGTCTTTTTTATTTGAAATATAGTTGACAAGTCCTTATTGGTCCTCTCTCCCCTTCCCTCCTGTGATCTGAGTGTTTCTTCCGTTCAGAGTCCATTGTCATTACCTGAATCATGGTCACAAGCTTTGGTAGGACACTAAAGGTTACTGCTCCTATCATCACATTAAACCAACCCTCCTGCAGTATTTCAGTCAGAGCTTATTTATAAGGAAACTCACTGCAACTGGCTCCCCTCCTCTACGGAAGGAAGTAAGGATTTAAAGCAGGGCTTCTCAAAACTCACTGTGGGGGACCAGGCAGGTGTTTTTGGTTGTTGTTCTTGTTTTTTAAAATTTCTAATACATCATGTATTGGTATTTTTAGAAAACAGAAAAATGACATGAAAAGACATAAAATACAAGCCACATTTTATTATCATTAGATTCAATAACCAACTGTCAAAATAAGCCATAAAAATGTCTTTTTAATGTTTATTTTTTTAAAAAGATTTTTATTTATTTGACAGAGACACAGCAAGAGAGGGAACACAAGCGGGGGGGGGTGGGGCTGGAGAGGGAGAAGCAGGCTTCCCACTGAGCGGGGAACCTGATGCGGGGCTCGATCCCAGGACGCTGGGATCATGACCTGAGCTGAAGGCAGACGCTTAACCGACTGAGCCACCCAGGCACTCCAAGCCATAAAAATTTCTAAACGCTTACTCAGTTTCTGCACTAACTTCCTGATGGATTGGAAGCAAACAATCTGTGGGCTATACTTTGAGTCATATGGCTTTAGAGGGTACAAGAAAACAAAGCCCCTCTGAGAATCTGGTTACTGGTCAACTGATGGGCTCCCTAGGTCCGATCAGCCACAAGGGGAAATGATTACATGGTCCTTTGGCAGAGTCTTTGGTTGGGGGCACTTCCCAGAGAATGGGGTGTGAGATACACGCAGGTATGCTGTTTGCCTGGGCTGCCCTAGAAACTTCACGTTTGTAGGCTATGCTGGAAATTGGAGGTTGAGAGTAATGTCCCGCAGAGTAAGTGTTCTAGAACACATAGAACAGAATCTTCACAAAATATGTGCACATGCTCATTAATTTGAATGCAGAGATGAACAAGATAAGCTCCCTACTCTCGAGAGCTCGGAGTATACCCAGCTTTCTCACAGACTAATTAATGCTGTTTCTATTTCCTAGTTCCAAAACCCTACTGAAAAAATTGTTATGGCCGTGTAATGCTTTCAGCTCATCAAAATCTCTGAACTCCTTCCACAGGTAATTCATCTTTAAAATGTATGTGGATCAGTTTCCTTGTGTGGGGAGCCCCTATGAGGGTTTATCATAAACCCTAGCATTCCCAGTGCCCAGCACCACGACACGTCTGCCCACACCTCACACTGCACTCTCTACGGTACACTGGTGGTGGTGAGGGGCATTGAGGGTGAGAAAGCAGCAGGCGTGAGGACCGGGCGTCATCGAGCTCTGCATTACCGGTCTGTCATATGGACTCGGTAAGGTCTACTCGGGCACTGCCGATTATAACGAGATGAAAGTAAGTAAAAACATCTAGCAGAGCACCCAAATGGCCAATAAATGTGTTAAAATGTAAGAAGTCAAAACACGGACTTGTCCGGGGTTCTTAATAGTCTTCCTTGTGAACTTCAGTGGGTGATTCATGTTTAAACTGACTGATCAAGAGAAGGTACACTAGGCTTGGCAGTGTCTGTTTAAAATAAAAAGTAGGGGGCACCTGGGTGGCTCAGATGGTTAGGCCTCTGCCTCCGGCTCAGGTCATGATCTCCAGGTCCTGGGATTGAGTCCCACATGGGCTCTCTGCTCAGTAGGGAGTCTGCTTCTCCCTCTTCCTCTGCCTCTCTCCCTGCTCCTTGCTCTGTCTCAAATGAATTAAAAAAAAAAAAATCCTTAAAAAAAATAAAAAGTAGGCAAGTGAACAGTGAATTTTTTTTTTTAAAGATTTTATTTATTTGACAGAGAGAGACACAGCGAGAGAGGGAACACAAGCAGGGGGAGTGGGAGAGGGAGAAACAGGCTTCCCGTGGAGCAGGGAGCCCGATGTGGGGCTCGATTCCAGGACCGTGGGGTCATGACCTGAGCCGAAGGCAGACGCTTAACGACTGAGCCACCCAGGCGCCCCCCCCAATACTTTTTTGTTTTTAGAAGATTTTATGTATTTATTTCAGAGAGAGAGAGACAGAGAGCATAAGCCTGAGTGGGGGGGGGTGGATGGGTTGGTGGGTGGGTGGCAGAGAGAAGCAGGCTCCCCACTGAGCAGAGAGCCTGATGCGGGGCTCGATCCCAGGACCCTGGGATCATGACCTGAGCTGAAGGCAGATGCTCAACGACTGAGCCACCCAGGTGCCCCGAATTTTTATTTCAAAAAATTTGTAAAAATGGACTTTTGGGTGAAGACAAGAATGAATGTGCATTCAAGTTTGTATACTCTGCCCCAGGCTACCAAAACCATGTGGTAGGAATCTTCTATTCTGCTTTCTGCCCACAAGCACCTGACCCAGAGCTTGCCACAGTTAGTCCTGCCGTAGACCAAGGACCATCATCTGTGAAACTAACTCAAAGCTGTTATTTTATCTCACTGTTGTGTCAAAAAACAACACAGGATCAGACTTTTTGGAGTGCTGCACTTTAAATTTTATTAAAAAACAAGCAAACGTTTCCAACACATCAAATGCTTTAATTCTCATTTGTCTATAGGCATCAACCACGACAATACAGAGCAAACACAACAAAGTGAGTAACACAGGGTACTTAAGCAGTAGGTACCTGGCACTGTGGCCAGGGGTGGGGGAGAAAGTGCAAAGGCCAGCTGGTGTGCGTGGCTGGAGCCATCCCAAGTGTTGACACTGTGGGCTCAGAAAGCCAGTTCAGCCAGCTCACCTGCGGGTGATCAGGGCCAAGGATCCAGGCTGCTCTAAACGTGTAGAAAATAGAATTACAAATCACAGTGCCCATTGTCTGTGGGGCTCCTTCAAACAGATCAAATTCCAGAGAAAGACTGCTGCCAGAGCCCAGAACCAGAGGAAGGAGATCAGATGTTCTGATGAGCCACTGTCCTCGACTATAGCATGGCGCCCTTCTGGCAGGAATGTTCTCACACGTGGCACAGTCTGCGTACGTGACGGATGCCCTGTTGCCTGGACAGTGTGAGGGGAACAAGGGCAGCAACCTAACTTCCCAGCTCTCCTTTCTAACTTCCCACATTGGTCACCAAAAAGCACCACACAGTGGAAATTTCCTACGGTTTATCTTGCTCAGGGCGTTCTGGGTGGACACTTCCCTTTAGTGGTGAGGCAGCCCAGGAAGTGAGCTGCAGAGATGGAGGAAGTGTCTAGCATCAGCAATACACTCGTATCTACAGCTTCTAGGTGACTCGCTTTCTTCTGACGTTTCTGCAGGTGACTAGGTTCAATCATTTAAGTTTTGTGAACTTCTGTATGAGAGAGGGACATTTCTGAATTCTTTCTCCAGATCCTTGGAATGTACCTTTTTGATACCTGCAAGCCTCATGCACTGACTATAGTCAGGGCTGTGGGGGTAAACGTGTGTATTTACAGAACTAAAATTAACTAAATACTCAGACCATTTCTACACTAAAATTAGAAACGGGAGGAACGGAGGTTAAGCCAGTGCTTTACTATTCAACAAAATGCCTTTAAAACTTGAGAAATAGCCCAATAGTCATATTCCAAGCAGCAACCGAGACCACCACAGTATTTTTCACCAGAAAACATGAGGTTTCTGAATATGTACAAATCAGCAGAAAATGAAACAGGTGATAAAAGTCATTAGAATAGTGGCTTCCAAACCCTTAAAAAAATAGTGGAATCCTTTTTTTTTTTTTTCAAAAAGAGGAAGAATTTTATCTACCGAAATCTTATCTGAAGCAGCATCCAGCAGGGGGCTGCACCCAGTGAAGTGAGAAAGCAGGAGCCCCTGGGGGTCCACTCCACTGGCCCCCAGCACTGCTTGTTCTCTGAGACTCCATACATCATAGTCCAAAACCTGTTTCCACGGAAGGATCTGAGGCTACCAATTTTTATGTAATTGAGTCTAGACGGATACATGAATTTGGAGAGGATAGGAACAAACTGTTCATAGAATTCCTCTAGAAGAATGATTTGGGGGGGAAGAACACAGTGGAGTGAAGGAAAAACAACTTTAAGAACATCCAATTCAATTTTTCTACAAGGTATCCATCCAGCAAAAGCCCTGGGTGAACACGAGGTATGGACCAGTCGCTTGAAAAATGTCAGGTGTGTATCACGAGCACCCGAGGTGCCTGTGAATAACACTGGAGATGTCTCTGTCCCATCTCCGGAGACACTGATTCCTCAAGTCAGGGGCTGGGCTTCGGCATCAGAGGCTGTCAGCGCCGAGGGATTTGTGATGCTGCAGGCAACGTGATCACACTTTGAGAAACAGGAGACAGGCCTTAAAGGGAAATTTGAGAAAGGCAGGGGCATATTTTAAAAGCAAAACCAAAACCACTGCTTCCGTCTTGTCGCTGAGAACATACCTTCATTCAGCCTGGGACAGAGTAAGAACACTCTTTTTTTTTTAAATTCCTAGATATTTTTTTAAAATAAATCTACTTACATTCCATTGTCCCAAATTAGGTAGAATTAAAAAAACCTCCGAATATGAAGTGCTGGTTCTTGCTTCAATATTATCATTTCAAGGAAAAACCACACAAAACTATCACCTATTCTATTGACCTTTTTGGCCGAACAAGTAAAGATTATGTATTCGGATCCACATGAATCTGTAAATTAATAAACCTTTAAAGTATTCTAGTTAGTGCAAATTTAAAATTCCATAATACACAGTAAATACAATTTTGCTTTATATTATAAATGCAAACTATTTTTCTTTTGACATGCTGGTAGTATGTCAAACGACTTTACAATTTTTTTTTTAAGATTTTATTTATTTATTTAATTGCGAGAGAGAGAGAGAGAGAGAGAGAGAGAGAGAGAGAGAGAGAGAGGCAGTGTGAGAGCGAACACAAGCAGGGGGAGTGGGAGAGGGAGAAGCAGGCTTCCCGCAGAGCAGGGAGCCCGATGCGAGGCTCGATCCCAGGACCCTGGGACCATGACCCGAGCCGAAGGCAGATGCTTAACGACCGAGCCACCCAGGTGCCCCGACTCTACAATTTGAGTCACAGAATATTTTACAACTTTAAGTAGGCAAACATATTTCAAAAAGCAAATACTACATGTTTTGACACACCCTACAATAATAAAAATAAATAATTCTGACTATAAAATTTTTATAAACATTAGCTACGTTAAGGGTTCACAGCTAATTGTTGCAGAAAACCTAAAACTCATTTAAGATCACGTAATCTATCAGACAACCTGTATCTTAAAACACAAGTCAGTTTGATTTCTACTGAACATAACAGAGCACTGAAATTATCACCATCTACTTATGGGATCCATAAGAGCTGCCAGGTACTCCGTGTTTAAGCCGCTAAGCTGAAGGAATTGGGAATGCACCAGGACAGCAAAGGATGAGAGAAATCTAAAGACAGACATGGAGATATGCTTTACTTCATGTATTCCTTCCTGAGAATGTAGAATTTGTTATTGTGTTTAAGTCAAGATGATTTAAAATGGAACAGGAAAATATTATGGCAAATTATTTTTTGCGAAGTACAGAATCCCTGGTGACGTTGACGTCTGCTACTCTAATGTGTAACCTGCAAACAGGAGCCTTGTAAACTGACCTTATTTAAAACAAGACCTATGCCTACCCATTTATTTGAAATGCTGGGTACATGTGCCTAAAAAGTAAATGGACTTTGCTAAAATGGTGTTTTATGATATGGTATTCAGAAATAACTTTCCCAAATGAAAATGAAGTCTGAATGACTAAAGCAAAAGAAAAATCTTCATGAAGAGTCAGTAGGTGAAAAAAAACCTCACTGGATTATGAAAATTGAAAAAACAATTTGTTTAAATACACAAGAGTGTTATATATAGATCTGTTCTAAATCCAATGTAACATTATGGTTAGAGTATGGTTTTAACCAAAAAGATAGTTATTTTGATTATTTTAATTCTGATATCCCAAACTATCTACTTTGATTCTACAACTAGCACTATGGAATTATATTATAGATAAATTACGGCCTAAAGTAAAGTGAATTTAACAGTATATTTATAAAATGTGACATCTGTAACAATGTTGATCATGAGTTAAGGAATAAAATTCATTATTCTCAAAACATGATCAGTCCATAAAAGAAAAACCTATAAAACTCTCCCATCAACCTTGACGAAGCTGTATGAAAAAGGTGAAAACAGATTTGCTCACAAAATCTTTCAATACTAGAATTTAGCATTTCCTGTTGAGATCAGGAAGAGGTTAATTTAAGCAGAAAAAAAGTATTTTATATATATAATGCACTGACTACTGTATCACTACTAAGTTTTTCCTTCAAGGCATGGCCTCAGTCTGAGGGTGAATGAAATTTAAGTTTATGGCAATTCATGGATGACAGATCCGTAACAGATCCTTAAAGGAAGCTAATGGTGTTTTGGGGGATACATTCTAGTCTTTCAGAGATTAACGTCATGAAAGACCACCAAGCCCACAGAATGGGCCATTTGTTAGGAAAACAGCAGGCTGGAGGCCCAATGGGTCTGCCTCACTGGCCTGAGGGTGCAGGCTGGTTCACACCAGAAGAGCGCCCTCTAGGGGGGAACCATGAGACTAGCCCTTCAGTAAGTTCTTGGCAAATGAGGGGTCAGATAAAAGAATGAAATGAAACTTTCAGTTACGCAAAAGTTGTTTGCCAGTGCTTTCATTCCCCTCTTTTTAAAAAAAAAACTGAGTAATATTTCTGAAGAATGAGAATAGCTGGATAACATATATGTCAGGAGAATTAAATTATGGGTGTTAATTAGTCAACAGGCTATACTTCTGATTGTGACTAGCTGAATTTATGTGATAAATTTTTTTTTAAAGATTTTATTTATTTATTTGACAGAGAGACATAGTGAGAGGGGGAAACACAAGCAGGGGAGCGGGAGAGGGAGAAGCAGGCCTCCTGCTGAGCAGGGAGCCCGATGCGGGGCTCGATCCCAGGACCCTGGGATCATGACCTGAGCCGAAAGCAGACGCTTCACGACTGAGCCACCCAGGCGCCCCTGATATTTTTGTGATAAATTTATGTGATAAATTTAACTTATTAAATAAAGCCATATATTGTAAACACTAAACACAAGTATACCACAATGAAGAAAATAAATAAATAAAAAAATATCTCTCTCATTTTAAAATAAATATGATATAAACATTTTAGCACAGGATTCTGTCTGCTTCCCCAAGAGGATTTCTGTTAAGTACTCTGGATATAAAGGACTACTATGCTTCAAAATACTACAAGACCACTGAACTTTTAGAAGTTACCAATCATTACTGAACTTTTTTTGAGCAATTACTATGACTAATAAATTTTCTGTAGTACTTTTTTTTGAATTGTGTATACTGTCTTTTACTCAGGAGAAACTGGTCAACTGTCCAGTTCAGAAACCCTAACTTTCAATCCAAAGTGCTCTGAATGTTATTCTTTACCAGTTCACCTATGTGGTGGTCTTCTGGCTACACGGGGTTATAAACGAGATGCTGAATTCCAGCTCAATGTGGCCATTAACAGGGTTAAGCAAGCAACATCTGGGGGTCTGAAAATGCTCTCAAGATAAAAATTATGACAGAAAATTTAAGTATTGTCTTTCTTTAACACTTCTCCTTGTAGGTTTCCTAGAAATAGATCCTTACGGATCCACTCAGCGCTGGGCTGCAGGAAGTCTTCGGAGATAAGCTGCAGGAGGAGGGCCTGCATCACCCGTGCTGGTTTGACACGAATCATCTCCTTTCAAAAAAGCAGGTTCATTTTTAAAATGTTATGGTGTCACCACGTTAACAATTAAGATGGCAATGATTTTTCCACCTACATCTTGCTGGACGTGTAATGTGTCCATCAACTGTGTATTCGAGAATAAGGAATGAGGGCGCGTGGCTCAGAGTGAGTCCCACTCTCAAGCAAAAAGCCCCAAGAAATACCTCACCTTTGAGTAATTAACGTTCCGTGACTTTTTAAAGTTAGTTCAATACGACTGGGGTGTTTTGCTGAAAAAGGAACAGGCGTCTGTAAACAACTGGAAATCTGGCCGTTTCTGGAATGCTATTTACATAAACGTATACCCATTACACTACTGGTGAAATTAAGACTAAACAGTTGGTAGGGAATTTCTAACTTTCGGACGACCATGTGTGTCCGTGTGTGTGAGGGTTCTCCTCTAAACTTGCATTTCCTCATCCGTCAACTCGGTTTCCTTCCTGTCCTCTTGATCGGAAGTACTGGAGATGTCCTCATCCGTCTGTTCTCCAGAGAAATACAACATCAGGGCGTGCGTCTTGTGAGTTATGGTCACGGTGCAGGGCCCCTGGGCCCACGGCTCCCCATCTACCTGCATTGGCATCATGGAGCACTTCAAAATCAACTGGTATTAGGGAACAAAGAACGAGAAGAAAGTCACTCCCCTAAAGTTCAGAAAGGTCTTCCTTAGTACTATCATCCACAGTCCCTTAAGCCCTCTTAGGGACAAGTCTAAGCATTTCGTTCTCGGAGAACTAATCTGAATATACCTTTACTCATCAGTTGTTTAAGGGATTCTTTTCCATGGAAAGCTTTGTTCCTCCCACACCTCCGGTTTCCTCCCCCACACACCCAAGCCTTGGCGGAGGCTGAGCAACAGTGCGGCTGTAGAGCACCGTGCGAGGCAAGCTGTGGTGGGGAGATCTGGATCAGTGGCTTAGAAACGGACTCGGACAAGTAGTCTCCGCACGTATGAAGCACAGAGCGACACCCCACCTACCCGCACTGTGTGTGCCTGTCCTATTCGAAAGGGGTTTGCCAGTTTCACTTGGATCTGAGCACAGTGGAAAGAGCCGTACACGCCAACGACCTCCAGCAAACCGTCATCATGCCTATGGGTGGGCAGAAGGAACACGGACTGCGTGAGGCAATGGAGGAAAATCAGCCCCGTGAGGACAACTATGTTCTCACGGAGGTGGACAACCAACCGGTTAAATATTCCTAGTAATGAGGTAGGCAAACCAGAAAACCCTTTAGAGAAAATACGAAGAGCCCGCAGAGACCACGGGACGAGCTGCTTTAAAGGAAACCCGGCACCCCAAAGTGGCCGCCCGTGCGCGCACCTGGCGAGAGGGTACGTCTCGTCTCCCATCCCTTCCCACAGTCTGCAGCCGCCGCCCCAGTAGCCGATGTTCAGAACTATGATGCCTTCCAGGTTGGGCAGTTCGACTCGCTCGCCGTCCAGCTCTAGCTTTAAAGAAATCCGAGCAGTTCGTTACCACGGGGCACAGCCGCTCAGGATTCACGTCCATTTCCATCCACGCAGGTCAGAGGCGCGCGGGTAAGAGACTACGGCCTACTCACCGCCCCCTCCCCCCCAAGGACTCGGCCTTCATCTTCGGTACTTATTAGAATACATTAATTACAGCATTCTTTTTTAACAAGGTAAAATGGCACCATTTTTGTTAGGTCTCAGTATCTTTTTCCAGCCTTATCTAACTTGCTGTCCCAGTAGCGTCCGACACTCTTCCAGAACTACTGCCTTCCTTGGTTTCTGGGAGCCGGACTCTCCTTCCCTGGGAACTCGTCCTCAGTCACTACCGAGAGCCCCGCCCCCTGCCTCACGCTAGCTGGGTCCTGGGCTCCCTGCTCTCGTCAGGCTGCAGACTCTGGAGGAAAAGCTCAGCCACTGCCATGTCGTTAACTGCCATAACTGCCGCCTCAGAGCTGACAGCTCCAGCCTGCCGGTCCGGGAGAGGACCCGGGCCAGATCTGCGTGACCCACTGCCCGTCGAACACCTCCAACTGACCGCGGCCCGAGACTCCTCTGCGCGGCACTGAGCTAATGTGGAGTGGAGCATCTCCTCTGTGGCCCTTACCACCGACTTCCCAGGGAAGGTAAAGGTGAAGTAGGCAGAGATGACCCCCAGGTGCCTAAGCCAGAAAGCTGGGGGTCATCTCTGCCTTCTTCACCTTTACCCTCCCCTTCTAAGTGCCCGCCACTCCCAGTCCAGCACACCCTCGGCTCTCCCCTAACGTGTTCCTACGGGCTCTGTCTGCCCTCATCTCTCTCAGAGCGGTGGGACGGGCGCTTACAAAATGCAAACGTGCCATCCCCCGATGACAGCCCTTCAGGGCTTGACTCATGCGTGGGATGAAATCCAAGTTCTTTAAAGGGCCAGTACGGCCCCTCTGAGATTTGGCCTCAGCTCTTTCGCCACTTTCCCTTCCGCAAGCCGTCCTCCAGCTTGAACTCACGCAAATATACCACGTTCTCTCTTACTTCTGGATGTCTGCACGTGCTCTTAGCTGAGAACAGCTTCCTTCTTTGGGGATCGGGCAGCAAAGCAAGATTTACTGAGCGACAGTAAAGTTTATTGAATGATAGAGTAAAAAGCTCTCAAAGAGGGGACCCGAGAGGGTTGCCCAGCCTTGAACAATTTTCACCTCCCTTCGCACTTCTTCCAGAGAGACTTGTTTCAGTCACTTTCCCTAGACGGCTGCTCTTACTTATTCTCATCAGACCGAAGGCCTTCCTTATCATGTCCCCCCTCATACTGCCATGTGGCTTAGATGTCTTCCTTCTCTACACCGTACACTCAGGGAGAGCCGGGGATGTATCGAGTACCTAAGACAGTGCCTGGCCTTTGGTAGGTGGCTTCACAAATAGTATTTGTATAAGTAAAATAACAGACACACACAAAAATAAAGCGTTACCATGTCTGCTTCACTCTACCAATGCTATTAGAGCCCAGGACAAAGGAAATATGATAAAGCTGAAGGGAAGTGTTTTTATGGCAAACACTGCCGTTCGTCCCGTGCCTCAGCTGCAGAGTCTGTGAGCTCAGTGTTAGCCTGACGGCCACGGCCCTCCCTGGCCTATGTGTATCAGGCTCCTCACGTCCCCTGCCCCTTGTTTTCTCTTTTCCCAAGCCGTCTGCCGGAACCTTCCCCTCTGACTTACTTTACTAGTTCTAGGTTTCTCTGTATTAATGTCTTTGTCGGTGTGGTCACCCATTACAGATTCTTTCTGGAAGTGAGCAAGGAATATATACAAGACTTTGCCATATCGGATACTGTAGCAATAAGCACTCGTTAATATCCTACTTTTACTGCTCATACATCTTTACTCTGCTTTAGTATATAAGAAAGATAGACACCTCAGCCATAATATAAATTACACTCTGCGTTTAAACTTCCTCTAGAGTCCCTGATGAGTCAGGCACTGTGTGAGACTGCTTAGCATGGGCCATCAAATACAAATGGAAGCTGTTCAGCATCAGTTAAACAGACAAGGTGGATAAACCTGGGTTTGAATCCTGGTTCTATGTGTATTTGGGGACTGTGTGGATTTGGGCAAATTACTTAATTCCACAGTTTCCTCCTCTGCATAATGGGAATATAATAGTACCTGCTTTACAGGGCTATGGTGACAATGTAGGGGAATAATGTGTATAAAGCACTTAATAAAGTACCTGGCACACAATAAATACTTCATGTATGTTAGCATAATATGTTAACAGAAAATTCAGCATTTTTGTTAAAAAAGTTTATAATCACCTAAAACTTTAAAAGCTTACCTCAACTTTTTTATTCAAATCTTTACATTCTTGTACTAGACAGTCTTTGGTTCCATAGAATAAGTAAACAGCCTAGGAGAAATGGATAGAAAAGGGGATATTAAAGCAACCTAACAAGCTCTGTAAGCAAGACAAGGACACTATGGCAGCTTCCTGACACGACCGTCAAGCCGTGTTTCCTTAGAGTGGACCCAATTCTCATGGGAAGAAGGGGCACCACTACCTTTGAGCTGAGTTAGCCCATTTTTCACAGGCAATGTGAGATAGGTGTGGTTCGTGACTAAATGGTGTTTTCTCCCCGTTTATCCGAAAAGCTGCATTTTATAAAGAAATACTATATTAAAATTACAAAATTCTACCTTTTCCTAATACTTCAGATTACTTAAAGGAATACAGATCAATCTAGTGAACATTTTATAATCACTTTTGAATACAGAAAGGCTGATGAAAGCACTGAGATGTGAATTACTAACCATACAAACAGCAACACTTACTGCCTTAGCAACTATATGAGTAAGAGGAGACTGTTAATTTGAAATATCTGTGAAACAAAACCAGGAGGAAAACTGTTTTGCATTTAATTTTCACATCCTGTTGCTCAATCACCAAATGCCATTAAAAAAAAAATTTCAGGGGCGCCTGGGTGGTTCAGACGGTTAAGCGTCTGCCTTTGGCTCAGGTCATGATCTCCAGGGCCTGCGGTCGAGCTGCACGTTCGGCTCCCAGCTCAGGGGGAAGCCGGCTTCTCCCTCTCCCTCTGACTCTCCTCCTGCTTGTGCTCTCTCTCTCTCTCAAATGAATAAGTAAAATCTTTGAAAAAAATATATAATCAAACTTCCACCAAAGGAAATCATTTGTACTAGAAATGAGAGTGATGATCATAGTTAAAAAGGCCGTGGTAAACAAACTGCTCCTTCTCTTACTTCATCTGCATTTTGGAGTTTTTTGAACCTAAAGGAATCTCTTTTTCCACTATGATTTCATAAAAACTTTCTCCTGCCTAAAATTTCTTTGCAGTTTTAGTTGCCATTTAAATAAGATAAGCAATCGGGTGCCTGGGTGGCTCAGTTGTTGAGCGTCTTCTGCCTTCGGCTCGGGTCATGATCCCAGGGTCCTGGGATCGAGCCCCGCATCGGGCTCCCTGCTCGGCGGGAGGCCTGCTTCTCCCTCTCCCACTCCCCCTGCTTGTGTTCCTTCTCTCTCTGTGTCTCTCTCTGTCAAATAAATAAAATCTTTAAAAATAAATAAATAAATAAGTAAATGAGATAAGCGATCATGTATCTTTCCATCTAGTTGCTACCTAAACTAAATGTGCTTTTGTAAAACATTCTCTGAATTAAAAAGTGTGAGTTGTATTTTGATAAAATATATTTAAGGATCTAATCTGACAGTCTTACACAAAAACAGAGCAGGTAAATGCTTCCATAAGTAAGTTCTAGTTGAATCTACTTGAAAGGATGCTAGATAGAATTAAACTATTGATTTTTACTGTACCTTCGGTGATAAGCAGGCAATGTTATTTTATCCAACACACCTTATTAAGAATTCTGCTAGAAAACAGAGATGGCGCCTTCTCACGGTGAGCATGAAAATGGAGAGCCATGAGAGCATCAGGTCCAACGGAAAAATAGTTGTTCATAGTGAATTCCTGTGGGAGGGGGTACGAGGAAGTGACAGATTAAGAGGAAGTGAGAGATTATGTTTAGTCTCAGCCTATGACATATGTTAAGTATGTAAATCTTAGTCTTTATGTTCTTCGTTAAAATTTTATACTTTCTGCATTTACTTTTCACTCAGAGCTGATACTATCCAGTGGTTTCCAGAACTAAAGCTTCAGTTCAAAGGCCAGTCACAATCCATATGAATTTCCCTTTGCTGTTCTGGTTAATATGCTATGCCTCAGATCTTACCATCCAGCCCGGCTCTGCTTTGCATCCAGGCTCTCCACGCCTGTGTTCCCATTACATGTGCTTTTTACTGTCACGGCAACTTGCAGGGTCCCCACTTCATCTATTTCCCACCCCGCAAGGACCCGTCTCCATCTCCAGCTCTGTCTTGCTCCTGAGCACTAAGCCTGCATCTCCAACTCCTGTCCAGTGTGCCACAGCCTCGAGGCTGAGGGGCCCCAAATCTAACTCCTTTTCCTCTTACTCAAACCTGAAACTCTTTTTATCTCAGTTAATGTCATTTCCATACATCCAGCCGTTAACAACCAGAAATGTGGTATAATATCTTCTCTCCTCCCCTAATACCGATTAGCTGCCAGGTCTCGCTTAATTCCGCCTCTAGAATGTCTTCCGATTTCCTGGTGAGAGGCCCCTTGTTCTGCCCTCGTGCAAGTTTCCAGGCTATTTTCACTCCGTCCCCAGAGGATCTGCTATAAAATACAGAGCTGCTATCTCCGCAGTAGTTGCTACCCAGGATCTGCATTCCCCAGGATCTACTTCCTCTGCCTGGAGAGTCTTTTGTTCCTTTTTCTATTGGTCTAAATTGTGTTTACCTTGTAAGGACAACCTCACAAGTCACTTCCCCTGAAATCTCTCCTGCCTGATCTGCCGGGGAGGCACTGAGTGCCCTTGCTGTTTTTGCCCCCACGGCCCTCTTTTGAGTCCGATGTGGGGGGCTGAGCATGTGGGTTTCTCTTCTGCTCCGTGAGTGGCCCCCGGCGGCAGGGAGCACCACGGCTCTGTACCCCAGCACCATGCCACCCCCATACAGGGGCCACTGCCTCACGGCTGCGGAACCCGTTGCCGCGGAGGCCCTAGACACATACCTTGGGCTTTCTTAAGTTGTAGTACCCTTTATTTGTTACTTGAACCTTCCACCTAAAAAACAAATTAAAAAAAAAAGGTAATTATTACCAAATTAACCACCTGTTAACTATAATTATTACCAGTCAACTCTGGATGCCTAGAAATGAGGTTCTTCTATGAAAACAGCATTTGAAGAAATGAGCAGATCAAAGCAACGACACAAATTCTGAGGTAAGTCCTCAGCCTCACATGACTCCAGTCCTTCCATGACAACACAATAGGCAGCAACAAAAGAAATGCCCAGCACCTGTACGTTTCAATTACACGGGAGCTACATAAGTCTTCATTTTTAAACCAAACGATATTCCCGAAGCTCCAGAAGTCCACCTTTTGGGGGAAGTACCGCTCACCTGTCCAGTTTAATCGCATCCGCTTCCATCACGTTTCTTAAGACCTGCGCGACCGGGACCTCCCCGGCATACCCTGTGCCCCAGCCCAGGGTGTTGGACAGATCGTTGCCTGTTCCCAGAGGCAAGACCGCGACCTGGGGAATGTACTTCTCTTGTCCCTAGAAAACGGGAGGTACAGGTTAGATTTTTCTCTTCAGACCACTCGTAGGCTCATAGTATTTGGTAAAACTCACAGACCAAAGCGAGAAAGACACAACGTAACGACTGTCTGTTGTTTTGCTGAAGGTCATAGGAAGTGCTTAGTCATGAAATTCAAAATTGGCAATGTCTTCTAACATTCCTCTGCATAATACAAAACAGGACCTGAAGAGCGCCTCGCGGCCTCGGAGCGGCTGAGCTCCTGCTGTGAAAGGCACACAGGTCTTACAGATTGATACCTTAATCTTCATTTCATCCACCGCATCCAGGACCCAGCCCACAGTGCCGTCCCCCCCACAGACAAGCACGCGGGCTGAGTGACAGGGAAGAAGAGTGCAAAGCTGCAGGGCTTTGATGGGGGGGGTTTTAGTTACATCAAAAACCTAGAAATGAAAGAAAAGGAAAAATTATTTTTATCCAACGCCATCCTCCATTTGTGAGGGTGCTGTCCCTCCCGATGAGCATGGATATGGTTGAAGGAGAGTCCTGGCTATGGTGTGTTTAACAGCATGCCAGACTCTTGAGGTTCCTTGCAGCACATCCCGACACTGACCCTACTTAACAATGAGTGAGCCTCATTCCGTTGACCAGGAAGTGGAGGCGCAGGGAAGTTGAATAACTTGCCCGTGATTCCCCAGTAACTACATGCTGACATACAAATTCGATCCTATGGCGTGTCCATGATACAACACTGCCTCCTTCCTGTTCACAAGAAACCAGAATGTGCTAAGTTTATCTTTAACCAGTACTTCATACTTTATACTGGATTCTTCACATCCATGACTAGTGCAAGTCAGAGCATGTTTCTGGAAAACAGTTTTGCAATATGCATAAGATAACATAAACATGCAAGGATGCTTGATATCTATAATTTTGTAAATGATCTAAGAAAATATTTCAAAAACCAAAAATGCGTGTTTATAAAAGTATTCAGTGCGGCATTATTTACAGTTGTATAATCTTAGAGACAAACTCAACCTCCAACAGCAGGAGACTGGATGAACATGATATATCCATTCAATTACTTATCTTCCTCATTACATGTCTAATTATGAAGACTATATCACACCATGGACAAATATTAAGTAATTAAAACAATACAAATTTTAGATCTAGATTATTGTTACCATAATGTTAATATGGAGATGCACAGACAATTCATGGAAAGAACATGGACAAACGAAAACAACAGATGTATTCATGTGGGGAAACTGCAGGTGACTTTTTTTCCTTTTTATCATTTTTATAGTTTCCTTAAGTTGTACAATGTTGAAGGGGAAAAATACGAATTGGAAGGAAAAAAAAGTTACTGCATTTCTGATCGCTGCATGGGTTATTAACGTTTTTCAAAGTAGAAGCTACTACCATGTAAACTCAATGGTGTGATCCTTTAATTCTTATTTTTTAAATTGAGGTATAAGGCGCATGTAACAAAATGCTCATTTAAAGTGAACAATTAAATGATTTTTAGTACGTTTACTGAGTTGTGCAACCACCACCACCATCCAGGTTAGAACATTATCATTGCTCTGAGAAGACCCCTCAGGGTCTGGGTGCAGTCACTCCCCATCTACAGCCCTGGCCTCGGGTGGCCGCTTGTCTCCTGTCTCTGTGCACCTGCCTTTTCTGGACAAGCCCAGTAAGTGGAGCCACACTCTCCAGGCCCTTGCACCTGGCCTCCTTCACTTAGCATGTTTTTGAAGCTCACCGTTGGTAACACGTATGCATCAGTACTTCGTCCCTGCTTCTCATGGAGTTACATTCCCTTGTGTGGGAACAAATTTATCAATTTGCCGGCTGATGGGACAGCTGGGTTGTCTCCACTTTTCGGCTATTATGGATTTCGCTGCTATGAATGTTTGCGGGACACATGTTTTCATTTCCCTTGGGTCGGTTGCTAGAAATGGGATTGGTAGGTGATATGGTGAATTTATGTTTAATTTTTCAAGAAACTGCTGCACTGTTTTCTAAAGTGGCTACACCATTTTATATCCTCACCACGAAAGCACCTCTTTCTCCATGTATTTGAATGGCTTGATACTCTTAAAAATTCTTTCTATAATCAAGTGGCGACTGTTTTAAAGCATTAACCACCATTACAACGATGGAAAATGAAAAGCTAAACATGACAAGAAACACAGAAGATTAACTAAATTTTCTCTTTAGTTACCTGGACTGGGTTTAGGAGAATCCTAAATTCTCCCAGCAGCCCTTCTCCCATGTTCGTTCCACTACGAGAGTTGGCCAGGATTATTAACGGGGTCCATTGCCTTCCAAGCTTAGAGGCTAGCTAAAAAAATTAATGAGAGTGAAAAGGGTTTAATATCTCAAAGAGGGCGAGCAATAAAATTTTCATTTCCTGGTAACAAAAGTGCTGTAAATTTGCTGGGAAAAGAACTATCTCAGTACAATGAATACAGTATATAAATCAAAGAATTCTAGGAATGGAAAGTGAACTCAGATGAATAATTTAACTCACACTTATTGTACTAATTCTCTTCTCCATTATTCTAGATAAGTCACCTGGTGATGCCTGGATACTCATGTAGGAAGGAACTAACAAGGTAGCCCATTCTACTACTAACTCAAATTGTTAGCAAGTTTTGACTTAAACAGAGTTAAAAATCTGTCTTTCAATAACTTTCATCATTCTTATTTTGCTTCCTAAAGCTACAAGAAATAATTTTATTTGTTCTTCCACTGAACTTGTGCTCAAACACCTGAAGCATTAGATCTTTTATCAGTCTTGTCTCCTAGGTGATCCATTTTAGGTTCTTTCAACTGTTCACAGAATGGACACAGATTTTCTCTGCTCTTACCTTGACTGTCCTTCTCTGGATGTATTCTATTTTAGTTTGCAAGTTTTTTTAATTAAAAAAAATTAAAAACGAGGTACTCAGAATCAGATTCAAGAATCCAGATTTGCGCAAAGGCCAAAGTCAAATGAAATTCATGTTCCTCTAACCTTTCCATTTCTTTCTTCTCCCCTTCTCCTTGTGGATGTAAACATGAATGGAGATATTCCACAGTCTTATGTAGTGATTCTCATCCCTTAGGATCTCAGATTGAATTTAGATATATTAGGGGATTCTATGTTTAAAAAATATGTATCATAACATTAAAAATTCTTTTAAGATTTTTATTTATTTATTTTAGAGAGAGAGTGAGCATGCGTGAGCTGGGGCAGGGCAGAGGGAGAGGGACAAGCAGACTCCATGCTGAGTGAGGAGCCTGGACTCGATCTCAGGACTGTGAGATCACGACATAAGCCAAAACCAAGACTCAGACACTGAACTGATTGAGTCACCCAGATGCCCCAATGTTTTTAAATTTTAAAATGCCTTTTTCTTTGGCAGGAATAGCGATAAAGATGACATTTAAGATATAAAATCCTAATTGGAAAAGACACATAATTTAATTTCGAAATAAAATAGTTTAATTGGGGCACCTGGGTGGCTCAGTCGGTTAAGCGTCTGCCTTCAGCTCAGGTCATGATCCCAGGGTCCCTGTTCAGTGGGGAGTCTCCTTCCTCCTCTCCCTTTGCCTCTGCCCCTCCACTTGCTCGTGTGTTCTCTCTCTCTAATAAATAAATAAAATCTTTAAAAAAAAATAGTTCAATTATTTTGGCATATTCAAGTAGGAAATAAATGCAAATTTTTATAGTTATCCCTTAAGAACTACATACAGAGAGACACATATCTATCAGTTTCCATACACATACATACTGCAAAGTGTCACTGACAGCTTTAATGTTCAAATTATTTGTAAGGAGCACCGAATGTGCAAGGTAAACTTATCTCTAGGCACCCTACATAAAGTTCTAAGTAGAAAAATTCTGTTAGAACAATGCATGAGGAAAATCCATGTTTTCTTTTCATGGATAGTAATAATGAATTTCAAAGCTGGCTGTTTATGAGTCATCTGAGGATCTTAAAGGAATACAGATTCCTGGGACCTGCCCTAGGCCCACTAAATCAAAGCTGGTGAGGGAGATGCACTCAGGAATCTGCATTCTCAAAAAGCTCCCCAAGTGACTCAGATGCAGGCAGTGACTGAGAAACCAGTAAGAGAACATTTCCAATTTCCCTCTAGACATGAAAGGACTCTAGAGCCAAACTCTGAGGCACCTCCCTGAATACGGGGCAGGGCTCTCTGGCCCGCTATTACGATTCTTCCCTCCGCACTCTGTACCTGTCGCATGCTCGGGACTTCAGCGGCTTTATGAAAATCAATTACATAAGGAAAAATGAACTCTGATTACCACCGCATAATCCGTTTTTTTGTCTTTACGCATCTGATTAATAGAAGTCAAATAACTTGGGGGGATGATGAGGTTTCTAAATTCTCCAAAATCACATTTTTCATTCTTCAAGCTATTTTTCATGCACTCATCATGTACTGTTTTCTGACACCAAATGCACCTGAGGGAAGGAAGAAACAAAGACAATTAATTTTAAACCATAATTTTAATGATGGGTAAACCGATTATTCTGTCAAAAAAATTAATAGTAATCTCATCACTATTAGACAAAAAAAATCGAGCAAAAAAAAGATTTACAACTCTCTACTTAGTGAAAATGGGCAATCAAGTTTGAACATACTTGGCAGTGTAATCTAATAGTGGTTTTTAAAGTGTGGTCTGGGGCCCCCCAAAATCCTTTCAGGACAACTCTGAGGTCAAAATCATTTTAATAATAAGGGGCGCCTGGGTGGCTCAGTCAGTTAAGTGTCCTTCTTTTTTTACAGTTTTATTTGTCAGAGAAAGCGAGAGTGCGTGCATAAGCAAGGGGGTGCGATAGAGGCAGAGGGAGAAGCAGATCCCCGACTCTCCGCCGAGCAGGGAACCCAATGGGGAGCTTAATCCCAGGACCCTGGGATCATGACCTGAGCCAAAGGCGGATGCTTAACTGACCGAGCCACCCAAGCGTCCCAAGGTGTCGGACGCTTGATCTTAGCTCGGGTTTTGACCTTGGGGGTCATGAGTTCAAGTCCCACATTGGGCTCCACGCTGGATGTGGAGCCTACTAAAAAAAGACAAAAACCCTTTAATAATAATACCAAGCAGTTATTCTATCTTCCTTCTCTCAAGAGTGTACAGACCCAATGCAGAAGCAGACAGGAGAATCTAGGTGGCCTCTAAACTAAAAAAGTGTACCAAAAAAGTAAAACAGTGTCGCTCTTCTCACTAAATTTTCATTAAAATATTTTGTTATATTACTTAAAAAATGAGTATTTAAATAGTTTCTCAATTTTAATGTGTAACATGGTAAATGCCAGTAGACATAATCCCCATAAACAAAAGTGGGTCTAGAACAGTGGTTCTGAATCTTAATTAAATGCCCCCTGGCCTGGGTCTTTGAAGTGTTTCCTCAGTCTAGTTTGTCCAGTTTGAAAACCTCTTAACTTATGACCATCTGTGAACACTCTAGTAAATATAGCACAATAGTCAATTTCTTGTTGGCAGTTAATACAAAACTAGCCTATACGTTTGCATTTGAAATACAGACAAAAGACATTTACATTCTGATTTGCCTCTCAGAATGCGTGTGTGTGGAACAAGCAGAGAATAGCGCTGGAAAGGTCCTAGGTTTCCATTTTTAATCGGCTAAGAATTTAATCCACTTACAGACAAGGCAGAGCTGACCATACAGACAAAAGCAGGCCCACAGAAAATAATGGTTATAATTAAATGAATTAAAAAAAAAAAAGAGGATAAAAGTCTTTCGCCCAAGGTCAACCCTTCCGGACTTCTATTTTAAGGTTGTTTTTTTCCGATGGATGTTCAGATTTGCCAAGTGATTACTGATATTTACTCAGGAGTCCTATTTACTGCTGAAAGAAGTGTTATCTGCAGGATCTGTTAGAAAACTGTAAAACCACTTGCATATGTTTTGTTAGTACTTGCTTTCGAACTAAGCCTGAGAAACCACAACAGACTGCTTACGGCAGGCCAAGTCCACCAACCCCACCTACTGCGTGCGCTAGTCACTTTCAAATAGGGTACTGTTACTGAGAATAACGTGAAAGGGTCCTCCTGAATTATTTCACATTGCTGTCCTCTGGGAAGAAAAGTGGGACTGAGGGATGAGAAGAATGTTCCCCTTTTACTCTATATTCTTCCGTACTGCTGTACTGCTTGAGTTTCTAAAAACTAGGGTATATTCATGAACTCCCTTTATAAACTTTTAAAATTATATTTTAAATAATATCAGTGTATCAGAAAGACAGAAAATAAAAATCATCCAGAGACAGTTCCTCGTAACTTTTTGATGTACTTCTCAGTTTTACTGTGCATATATGCTTGTTTTTCAGGAGGGATATGATGTATGTATATACATCCGGACAGTACTTTTCTTTCCAAGTTCTCATGAATGTTGTTCTATGCCATTAAATATTTTATTTTTTTAAAGTTTTTATTTATCTATTTTGACAGAGAGAGAGAGAGACAGCGAGAGAGGGAACACAAGCAGGGGGAGTGGGAGAGGGAGAAGCAGGCTTCCCACGGAGCAGGGAGCCCGATGTGGGGCTCGATCCCAGGACCCCGGGATCATGACCCGAGCAGAAGGCAGGCGCTTAATGACTGAGCCACCCAGGCATCCCATCTTTTACTAGCTTTTGATAATTTCATGCACTTTTTATTGATGTAGGATATCAGCCTCTTTTCTGTCACATTTACTACAAACTTGTTTCATGTACATCAGTTTATTTTTTGATAGATCTCTATTTCCCTTTGTGATTTATTTAAATGCTTTTATGCTCTGAAGTCCTTCACCATTTCCAAACTAGACACTCGCTTATCTCCCCGCCCCCCCCATTCAGTTTTCATATCTCTGTCTTTAATTCAGTGCTTCTTCTGGGGCTACAGGTTCCACTGAGAATCTCACGAAAGTATCCGGATTTCTTGGAATCTCAGCCATCTGTGAACTAGGAGCCCCTGCTTTAATCCATCCGGGGTTTATTTTGGTATATAGTGGGATAGGAAGATCTTGCTTCCCCCCCGCCAAGGAGTACCTGTCCTAGCACAATTCATAAAATAATCTTTTCTATCCCTACTGATTTGGGACACCTTTATCATTTACTACATTCTCATCAATTTCACAAAAGATTCTTTTACCTAAAATGATGGCTATCATCAGCCTTTGCTCTGTAAAGGTAGAGCCAAAATGCATGCTAGCTATCCAACCTTATACTTTTCCTTACAAATACCATATTCGAAATCGGGACTGGTCTCTTTATGTATTTTGTAATTAGTGTTTAAACTGATCTAGATTTCAAACCTGATGGGAAAATAAGACATTGCTAACAATGTCTTGATATTTTAGTTTCAGCAATCATATCATTGACTAATTGCTTCTTTTTACTTTGAAAATTTTTACACAGAAGTCAAAAGTATAGCAAAATGACTGTAAGCCAACCCTTCACTTTGATTCTTAATATTTTTTTCCCACAGTTGCTTTATCTCTTTCGATGTGAACTCCTATATTCCTGAATCATTTGAAAGTATTACAGACATTATGAGATTTTACCTTTCAATACTTCAACATGTATTTCCAAAATATAGTCTTTTTAAAATGTTTTGCATTAGGATTTTTTTCCTACAGTAAACATAGATAAGCCCACCCCCTACATTTCAGCATTAATATCTTACTGTAATTGCTTTGTTACATTTCTATCCATCCATTAATCCACCTAATTTTTGGTGCATTTCAAGTAAACTGTAGATCAGGATACCTCCTAAATGCCTCACCAAGCAGGCATATTACTACCTAGAGCCCATCATTTATTTATGTTTTTTCTTTTGACGTAAAATTTACATGTGATGAAATGTACAAATTAGTACATTGGCTGAGTTTTGACAAATGAACATTTTCATGTAACTAAAACCTTTACCAGGACATAGAACATCACCCTATGTGCCATTCTTGTGCAGGAGTATGACTGCTTTATTTTTTTAAAAAGAAGCTTTACAGGGGCGCCTGGGTGGCTCAGTCGGTTAAGCGTCCGCCTTTGGCTCAGGTCATGATCCCAGGGTCCTGGGATGGAGCCCCGTGTCAGCTCCCTGCTCAGCGGGGAGCCTGCTTCTCCCTCTCCACCCTGCTTGTGTGCTCTCTCTCGCTATCTCTGTCACTCTCTCTGTCTCTCTCAAATAAATAAATAAATCTTAAAAAAAAAATTAAAAAAGAAAAAAAGAAGCTTTACAAGGGGAAAAAAGAAACTACTGGCAACACTGCTTATTATTTTCTGTAAAGCTACCTGTTGATGATGGCTCTCTTCTTTAATTTGCTGGAAGAGGCGGCAGAACTACACGTCACGTTGAGATGTTCGTGTATGATATTCCCATGACAACAGGGGTTGGCCAACTACGAATATGTCTGCCACCTGATTTTGTGAATAAAGTTTTACTGAAGCACAGCTATCCCCTTTCATTTATGTACTGTCTAGGGCTGGTTTTGTACTATGATGGACAGTGCGTTAAGTAAGGGTCCGCAAAGCCTAAAACACTAAGTTTTGGCTCTTTATAGAAAGTTTGCCCACCTCTGCTCTAGAAGATGATCTGGTATCTTTCACTGTTTCAGATAATGAATGAAATGAATAAATACATACCAAGAGAACACAGAAACATAAAGTTTAAGATCAAAGCCGAGGGGTGCCTGGGTGGCTCCGTCATTAAGGGTCTGCCTTTGGCTCAGGTCGTGATCCCAGGGTCCTGGGATCGAGCCCCACATCGGGTTCCCTGCTCAGTGGGAAGCCTGCTTCTCCCTCTCCCACTCCCCCTGCTTGTGTTCCCTCTCTCGCTGTCTCTCTCTCTGTCAAATAAATAAATAAAATCTTAAAAAAAAAAAAAAAGATCAAAGTGGAGACTAAAGTGGCCAATGTAATTACCTACTCAAAGTCAGAAGCTTTGTTTCATTAATCAGCGTATGTGTGTGTGTGTGTGTGTGGTGGGGAGGGATAGGATGTAATGAAGAAAAGGTCTTATCAATAAAAAGGCACCTTAAGTTTTCCTAACAAGAGACGGAATACTATGAGGAAGAAAGGTTTATTTAAAAACTGTAACAAATACTTATAACAAAATTCCCTATTTTAGTCAGAAGAGAGGTGGGAAGAAGAAAAGACCAGGAAAGGGGCCTAAGATACTAGGTGCAGGAACACATTCTAGTGACTGGGGGTAGATGTGGGGACACACACACAAGAGAAAAAATTTACAGGGAAAGTATAATCTGGCACAATGCCTGGCACAAAACAGATGCCTGCTATGTGAAAATTAAATAATGACTGAATAAGTATAAATTAAAGGGCCTGTGTCAGTTATTCTGCAGAGCTTAAGTGGGCTGCAGGCTTTAAAATCAGTTATTTCCTGGGTCTTTATAGTTCCCTTAAGTCTCGTACTTAGATTGCGATACAGACACGGAAGGAGCCCTTGCCAGGGCTAGATAAAATCCAGAGAGGGACAGTCGGCTTGTGTTTAAAGGTTCTAAACAGATATTTATTTTGTTTATTTTTCAGAAATATCTAATTCCTACAGAAGGTCACAGCAGACAGTAATCCTGCATAACATTATTGGCTAAAATAAATCAGAATACTACAAAACATTCAGGACACTTCTATCCTGGGATAGTAAACACTTCCTAAATTATACAGAGATAATTTCTACCATGGTTGAGGGGTTCTAGCATGCTGGGAAAAGACTGCTCAGTAACTGGTAAGAACAAGGTCGTGAGGAAAAAATCATCATGTTCACTGTGCACAAAGGGAAGGATACCTCATTAAGGACAGAGGCTGATGTTGTAAAAGGTACATAAATACAGCAGTGGTTCTACAACTTTAGAATTACCTGCAGAGCCTGCTAGAGCAAAGATTGCTGGTCTCCAGGCCAAATTTCTAATTCGGTGGGTCTGGGGTGAAAGTAGGGTTGCCAGGAAAATAGAAGATGCTTGGTTAAATTTCAATTTCAGATAAACAGTTTTTTTGGTATAAGTCTACCCCAAATATTGCAAATGTTTTATTTTGTTTGCTAAATCTGGCAACACCAGAATGTGCATTTCTAACAAGTTTCCAAATGATGCTAATGCTGCTGGTCCGGGGAACCTACTTTGAGAACCACTGAAATATAGGCTGTTATGTCATCATCGAGAAGGAAAGATTGGTACCTGGGGGTGAGTAGAAGATCAGGTAAGGGTTCCTGGAGGAAAGGGCATGAGATGAGTCTCTAAGATGCCTAGAAACTAGCTAGGGGAGGAAAGCCTTGAGAAAGAGAAGGGCAGAACAAAAAAGCCTGATATTTTAAGGAAGGCACAGCCAGCTCAGCATTGCTGGTGCATCAAGTTTAATGCAGGTGGTAGTAGGTAAACCTGGAAGGGTAAGCGGGGTCCGGAGAGCACGTAAGACCCTGGGTATCATGGTGAGCACTGGAAGTTTACACTGAAAGACCATCAGGGTAAGTGATGGGAGCAACTGAAGGGGTTTACTAGGATTATTCGTTAAGGAGTATGTGAAGCACAGTTAAGGTATTTATGGAAGCCATTTTTATCTAATTCTGCAGACACAAAGAAGGGAAGGGAGTAAGATGCAAGTCATGTCATCTTTCCAACTAATCCTAGGTTTTGAAAACTAAAGCTTACCTATAGAGAGAATTATGAAATTTACTTAAAGATGCTGGTAACCTAGCTCTCACTGATGCCAAAAGAACAATATCTAAATTTGAAAGATACCAAATAAAAATTAATGGTTATAAAACTCAGTTGTTTAAAATATGTTTTTGAAAACTTTTCTTAAGTCTAAAGCTGATGTGTAAAATTGTTAAAAATAAGATTTAAAAATAGGTGTTGACCTAAGAGTGCTCATGCTAAGTTAAAAAAAAAAAAAAAAAGGGATTTTGAAGTAAAATAAAAAATAAAGACAAAAATTAAAAAGTAACCTGACATCCAGTGTCAGCTTTTGAATTTAGTTCCTAAACACTCTTAGGGCCCTTTCCACTTGTCAGAAATTAAACTCATGACAATGAAGATGTCCAGACCTAAGGCTGAGCCAAGGCTAGGAGTGCCTAACCCTAATCTGGGGGTTAGACATCCCAGACACAGGTCTATTTTACCACCAAGTAAAATTCTTTCAACTGTAAAATGAGAGCAGATGATCTGCGGAAGCAGCCTTCCTTCTTACCAACCTCTAAGAACAACAAAGGGTGTCTTCCCTATTTTCAGACAGTATTTAAGAACATTAATGTGTTGTCCTGTGTGTGTATTCAGAAGCCGCTAAAATATTCTTGGCTTAACCAAAGACTCTTGTCTGAGATGCTACATGTCCTGGAAGGCCATTTGGCAAAAGTAGAGTGCCTCTAAGTGCTATCTTTCACGACAGCAGCGATATCTAGATTTGAAAAAGATGCTTCTGATGCTGCCATGGAATGACACTCATTTTCATTCATTTCCCCATTCATAATACCCCAAAGAGAAGGATCAGTTTGGTGAGTCTAGGGAAAAGCTAATTTGTCCATACTTGGATTCTCCTTACTTAAAATGGAGATAATCAATAGGAACAAAAGCTAAAATACAACACACCGTGGCTATGAAGTCTGCAGCACTCAGAGACCTCCGGATCCAAGTTAAGTGCCAAGTTTCATTACCCAAAAGGGCAGGCTGGCTGAGGAGTGGGGACTGGATGTATCATCTGGGCAAATGACTACTGCAAAGCTGCCCTGCCTGTCCAATTCCCAGGGACGTTTATGAGCTTGTTTCCTCGAAGTGGACAGTTTAGGCCATTTGCAGAGATCAAGGTAGGCCTCTCCGCCCACTGCATGAAATCCTGACTCCGACGCCGCATTCTGGGGCACAAAGTCCTTACCTGTAATCGCAGAGCTTGGGCTGGCTGCCGCACTGCTGCTTGCAGACCACACAGTAGCTGCACAGGGGCACGTTGCCCCGGATCCAGTGGTGGGGCATGGCGTCCAGGGCCCTGCTGTCACTCTTGAGCATGATCTCCTTGCACGGGAAGCGCTTGTCGGCCTTCTTGAGGCAGCCCTCGTCCACGCGCAGCCCACAGCAGTCGCAGAAGGCGCCCAGCAGAATGTGCTGCGCACACACGCAGCAGTAGGTGGGCTGGCTGAACAGGTCCGTGTCGCGCCAACCGTGCTTGCTCTTGCGGAAGATGTCCCTGCGGTGCAGTTGCCGGCGCGACCGCTGGAGGCTGCACCAGAAGGTGATGAACACGGGCAGCAGCACCGAGCACAGCGTCCAGAGGACCAGGTGCCCGTCGGCAAACAGGCCCTCGTAGGGCGCTGGCCGCTTCTCCCCTTCCATCTTGTCCAAGGCCGATTTCTCACTGAGAGACAAACAGGCGGGGTCCACCCGGGGCTCGCGGTCCCCGCCCGCCCCCCGCCTTTCAGGGGACCCCGAGGGCGCCGTCCGCCCAGGGGGCCCCCCTGTCTCCAAGGAGGCGCAAGCGCCGCGTCTTCCCGGCGGCCCGACCCCGGAGCCTCCCGCCCAGCGCGCTCACGCTCCTCCCCGCGTCGGGCACCAGAGAAATGGACAGGCCGCCCTCGGCGGGGAGGCGGCCGCGGTGCTGGGCGCCCGGACCTCTGGGCACTGTGGCGCACGTGGGCCGCGCGGCGCCGGCAGCGCCCGTGACCGTTAGCTCGGGGCCCGCACTCCGCTCCCGGGCGCAGCCGCTCGGGTCGAGCGCGGCCTCTCGCAGGCCTCCACCCGCTCACCCCTCTCCCGAGGCCTCGCGACCGGCCCCCGCCCGCCCCTCGGGCCCTACCTCGCGTGGGCGGGGGCGCGGCCCCGGGACCCAGGGCTTGGGGCTGCCCTCGCGCCGCCGCCCGCACGAGCCCGCCTCCGGAGCCGGTCCAGGCGCCGACACCGGCGAAGGGCCCCGCGAGCCGTACGCACGCCGAGCCGGGCGGCGCGGCCGCGGGCGGGGGCGGGGGCGGGGCCTGCGGCGCGAGCCCCGGGGCGGGGCGGAGGTGTGAGGAGGGACGCGGAGGCCGACGGGCCTGGGGGGGCGGGCCTTGGGTAAGGGTGGGGCCAGAGGAAGGGGCTGGGCCGTGGGCGTGGCTTAGGGAGTACGGTGGGCGGAGGAACAGTAAGGTGGGGGCGGTAGAGAGGATGCGAGGTTGAGCCGCGCCGGTGTGTAGCCGTAGGAAGTTCTAGTATGAGAGATTTACAGTGAGCTTATCTATGACCTTCACCTTCCCCCACCTCCCTCAGTGGCCGAGGTGGGAGCTGGCACGTTTTGAATGATGGAAGGGAGAAAACTGGCAGTTTTGAGTGTTACATACTAAAAGAATGGGACAATCCAGGTCAAAAATTGATAGATGTCACCTGAGTGCTTGCCAGTTTATTAAACACACGCTGGCTTACTGTGGTCCACCCACTGTGCCGGGAGTCCCAGCACTCGCAGAGTGCCGGGCTTGTAACAAGCCCGATAAGAAGCATTTATTTAGACCTATTAATAATGGCTTACTGCATCCCAGCTTCCATCTCTGCACTTGCTAGAAACCAGGCTGAGTTTATCATACCCATTTTCCAGATGAGGAAAACCAAGGCATAGACCGCTAGAGAAACATGCTTGATGCCCCAAAGCCAATGTTGGGACTGAGATCCTTTTAAGTTGGTCATCCAAGTTAGCTTCAATCCAAATCAAACCATCAGAGTGGAGTGTCTCTTATTTCAAAGAACCTTGCCCCTGGGGATCTTGTTAAAAGGCAGATTCTACTTCCCTTTCTTGGGGAAGAGGCCTAAGGGTATGCATTTCTGACACACGGTCCAGCGATGCTGATGTTGAGGGTTCCCGGGACACATTTGAGTAGTCAGCAAAAATATTTAACCATCTGGATTGTGAAGATTGGGGGCTGGCTGTGGTGAAGGTGGGACCAGTGTAAGGCATTGTGAGGCTTGGAGAAGATTGATCCTGGCCATACACATCTGTGGCTCCTAGCTGAGGCAGAGCCCTTAATTTAGTTTCGATTGAAAACATAAAAGAATACACTTTTAAAAATTGAGGGATTAAAAAAAATTCCCATTATAGAACATTTGGAAAATGTAGAAAAGAAAAAGGAAGACGAATCATCCATCTCTCACTCCAAAGACAACCCGTGTTTGCACATCTTGGCACATTTTTTCATTAATTTCTATGGAAACTGTGGTTTACTTTTTTCCATACGAATTTTGATTATATGGTAGATATATTCTCTGTCTGGCTATGTTTTCATTTACACAATAACTTTTAACATTTTTATGAATTTGTATTTAATAGTTGCATAATATTCCATCCTATGAAGACAGTTCACAGTTGCAACCTTACCTCTGTTTTTGGCTCTTTGTCTCTAATATTTTGCTGTGATATATAATTCCTCTGTTTAGGTTTATCTCCTCAGATTCTCACATTTAGGTAAAGAATCTGAAAGGTTTAAGGCTTAAGGAAGCTTCTTTTTTAAACAATTATAGTCTTTCTTTCCTAAGTGAAAATCATCTGGGAAATTTATCTGTGTGAGGGCAGATTAATAGAGATTACCACATCTGAAGAAGACACTTTTTTTTTAAGATTTTCTTTATTTATGTATTTGAGAGAGAGAGCGAGCCTGTGTGCCCATGAGTGGGGGAGGAGAGGCAGAGGGGGTGGGAGGGGAAAGAATCTCAGACAGACCCCCTGCTGATCGCAGAGCCCAACATGGGGCTCCGCCTCAGGACCCCGAGATCATGACCTGGGCCTAAACCAAGAGTTGGATGTTTAACCGACTGAGCCACCCAGGCGCCCCAATAGCCCATTTCTTTTTAGTGGTGAATACTATTCCATTGTCTGGAATATTATTTATCACAGTTTATTGACGATCCATTTACATATCGAAGGACATCTTGTTTGTTCCAAGATTTGGCCATTATGAATAAAGCAACTATAGACATCTGTGTGCAGGTTTTTGTATGGACATGTTTTCAACTCACCTGGAGAAATGTCCTCTCTTTAAAAATATTTTTTCTCTCTTGCTTTTTTTTTTTAAACCCTCTCCCATCCCCCTTTCTCTCTCCCATTCTCTCTCTCTCAATTTTGCTCTATTTTTCTAAAATATTTCCATAGCTCTGTCTTTGGACCTTTTTACTGATTTTTTAATTTCTAAGAACTTTTGTTGATTTGATTTTGGAATATTCCTTTTTTTTTTTTTTTTTACAGCATCCTGTTCACATTTCATGGGAGCAGAAATGTTCTCTTGCCTCTCAGAGGATAGTGTTGGATAGTTTTTCCCTCCTCTCCTTGCATGGTTTCTGATTTCTGCACGGTGCTTTTCCCTTTGGTTTCCTTTGTCTTCATCTTCCACGTGAGTTGCTTTCACAGATGTCTCATGAACCTCCGGGTGATTCTAACGCAGCTTAAGTTTAGAGAACCACCGCCAGAGTGTCTCTTCATCTCTCTGAAGCTGATGGTCCCAACTGAGATCCCACAGAGAAAAACACAAGCTTCAGTATCTTTTCCCCAGAAGAATTCAGCTTTTCTCTCCCAGCTGAAGCCCTTTTCTTGAATGAAGTATAATATGACAGCAGCCTTAGAAGTGGTTTCACAAATTATTCGGTCCATGCTCCTCTCCCCTAGTGTGTTTATTTGTACCACTGTACGTTCTTACACTTTGCCAGTGCCCCTGTCGTTCCTGTTTAGGTTGGAGGGCAGCCTGGCACTGGCCATCGGGAATCCGACGCTGACCTTGGCTGTCCTTACTTGTTGGGCAGATGTAAGTCGGGGCCAATGTCCTGGACCCAGAGCAGAAATTATAGCCCACTTGTGGCAGCATGCAACAGGCCAGCAAGGCTCCTGTCCAAGGCCAAACCATCTTACAATTGTATTACTGCTCCAAACAGGAAGATGTGTGTTTATGTAGAAATACCAAGGATATGAAAAGGGAAGCCAAGGGCACGGGGTGTGGAGACAGAGCTGGGATATCAACTCCTACTGAAAAGGGGCCATATTTTCTTTTCTAATAAAGATGGATTTTTATTTCAACAATATATAGAATTATGTATCTTAATATGTGTTTGATTAATCTCTGTATCATTTGGTCATTGAAAACAGTTTTATAGACCTTCTATCACATGTCTTAGAATGGGATGGGTATGCAAATATAAACAAAGGTGATTTCACAAAGAGAGGAGGAATAATAATAATCATGCTACTAATAACAATAATAACGGGTTTCCAACGATTAGATCCTTCCTGTATCTGTCAAGTACTTTACATATACTTTCTCTCTCTCTTTTTTATTTTTTATTTTTTTTTAAAGATTTTGTTTATTTGAGAGACAGAGAATGAGAGAGATAGAGAGCACGAAAGGGAAGAGGGTCAGAGGGAGAAGCAGACCCCCTGCTGAGCAGGGAGCCCGATGTGGGACTCGATCCGGGGACTCCAGGATCATGACCTGAGCCGAAGGCAGTCGCTTTAACCAACTGAGCCACCCAGGCGCCCTCTCTCTCTCTTTTTTAAAGATTTTATTTATTTATTTGACAGAGACACAGCGAGAGAGGGAACAAGCAGGGGGAGAGGCAGAGGGAGAAGCAGGCTTCCTGCCGAGCAGGGAGCCTGATGCGGGGCTCGATTCCAGGACTCTGGGATCATGACCTGAGCCGAAGGCAGACGCTTAACTGACTGAGCCACCCAGATGCCCAACTTTCTCTTTTTTTATTAATTTATTTTTAAAATTAACTTTTCTATTTATTATTATTTTTAATTTTCTTTTTTTAAGTTCTCAATGACTTGCCTTGAGAGGCAAGTCATATTATAATAATTATTTTTTTCTTATAAATGAGAACACAGTAATTTGGAGAGTCAAGAAATCTGACCAATTATAGCTTCACTATAACCCAGGTACTAAGTTTCGGAGCCAGGATTCATTGATTACTGTGCGCCACAATCTTGGCCGTGATTCCACATGGCCTACACAGTAGATATTCATTCACTCTTGAGTGAAGCTTCTGTCAAGACCCTATAATTCACTTAGACCCAAGAGCACCCAGGTTTGGACACACTACCCATCTCATAAGAACCCCCTGTATTGGTTAGTTGTTGTCAGAGCGAGGCTGTGTGACACACCACTCCTAGACTCTGCAGCTTAAGATAACAGCATGTAATCTTCAGAATCTGCAGGTTATGAGTGGCTGTGCTTCACGCCGTGGTGGCTGGAGGCCCGGTGAGCTGAGTGGGGTTGAGTGGGTCCACTGCTAGGTGGGCTGAGCTCCTTGCTCAGATTCCTCTCCATTTGAGTTAATTCTGAGATTCAGCTTGAAGCGGGAGCAGGGGGCAGCTGTCTGGGGGAGGCTCTTTTTGGAGCAATGACAGGAATGCAAGAGGGTGCACCTAGGTGCACAAACACACGGCATGTACCCTTGTTTGTGCTGTGTCTGACACCACTCCATTGTCTGAAGCAAGTCCCTTGGTTGAGCCCAAGGTCGGAGGGCAGGACTGCAAAGTCATATGGCAAAGAGCACACATACATGATGGTGGTGGTGACGAGCCGATGGGGACGATCTCGCCCACCGCACCTGCCCACACCTGACACCTGTGGGCACAACGTGCCTGCAAAGGAACATGTATAGGGTCCATGTGCAGCTTATGGAGGGACCATTATAAAAATTATAAGAGAATTATTTGTATACTGTAAAAATACAGAGTTTATAGTCTAGTGGGGAAGGCAGGTAGTAAAAGAAATGAAAACAACTACAAAAAGGAATATTAGAAGTTATTTAATTGACTCTGGGCCTAAAGATAGTGGACACATTATAATTCTCTTGGGACAGATTCAGCATCTTTCTATAATTTTTTTTGTTTCTATTTTTGTTTTTAAAGATGTTTCCCTTGTCTCTGAAGTTTCTTTGGCTGAGAGAATTAGAAATCACC